GTGCTGCTGTTAATGAAAAAATATTTTCATACATATTTATGCGTGTGCAAGTGTCCAGGTTTCTCCTCAAACAGACAAGAAGATAATGCAAAAAATTTGACCATCAAGAGCAGTCAGCATACTCCCGGGAAACAAAACGTATTATCGAAGAATGGAGTGGAAAGAATAACTGCCAGGCCTATAATCAGCCTATTGCTTCCGTTTGCATAAGTTTTATTCACTTTTTCAGTAGCATGAGGAGATTGATACAGGCTATGACAAAATTTCGATTTGCATCGGACCTCGGTATTGGTTTTGTTATTTAATTATGTAATCTTGTATATACATATATTGAATATATATTTTTTATTTATTATTATTGTTGTTGCTTTTCTATATATTACAATTATTTAAAATTTTATATGCAATTATGAAATGAGATAAGCGAGATAAATAATCCTTTTAAAAAGGTATCAATCGTAGCATTTCGCATGCGGCAGCTAAATGGCTTTATAAACGGTTTGTTTGCATTTATTTATATTACTTTTAATATAGGTATGAAATTTATTATACGGTAAGTGAATAACTTTAAAAGGGACATTAAAATAAATTTTTAAGTGGAAAAACATGTTCATAGAATTTCATATATTTATTTATTTATTTATTTATTTATTTTATATATATATATATACATATATATTTATTTTATATATATATATATATATTTTTTTTTTTAGCAAATTTTTATAATAACACCGATAATAAACTTAATTTAAGTGGAGTTGTGGTTTAAAGGCATATGAAAATGACAACAAAACAAAGAAAATTGTATATATAGTATATAAATTATATGTATATATATATATACATACATACATATATATATTTATAAATAATTGTTTGCCATAAATAGGGATAAATGGATGTTTAAAAAAAAGGTACAGAAATTAATTATAAAACAAATTAAAATAAAATATTTTTTTTTTTTTTTTTTAAATTTCAACATGCATAAGAAAAATGATTTCTGTAAGGGATGTCCTGAAGTGATTTAATATCGGTTGGTTGGACAGGGCGGATTCGTGGTCTAAAATTGCTGAGATATTAATTTAAGACAGAAAGCGTATTACGGAAATTTTCCTCATGCCGATGAACACTTGTTCCCGGGACTGAGGCTAGTATAACGGAATCAAGGCCATAATTTCCAATGACATAAAAGTATTAAATACAAGGAATAAAGAAATAAATAAATAAATAAATATATATATATATATATTATGAAAAATATTAATATTAGGAAAAAATGAAAATCTCAGCTTATTCCGGAACACCCTTTGCTTTTTGTTTTTTCATAAATATTTATCAATTTTTATTTTCACATACACAAAATGTCTTTCACTTTTCCTTTGTCTTCTTAAAAGATGTCATTCAATTGTATGAACTTCTCTCTTAATCAAAAATTCAAGTGATAATCAAAAATTCATAAAAATTTCATCATTTATATGTATGTGTGCTGGAGTTATAACAAAGAGCGCCTTTTAGAGAAAATAGATTGTCAAATTTGTGCAGTAAACAGGCGGGAGATTCAACTTAGCATAGGCCGAACCTCGCGACATATATAATTAGATGCTCTTCCTTATTATCTTCACCTTAAATATTACTTTAAAAAAGTCATTTATAATTCTTAACATCTGCTTAAAGCACGTAGAGTAATCAGGTGACATGAAATCTTTTTTGCTCTTACGCTGATTGGGCAGTGAAATGGTGCAGGTTTCTTCTGAAGGCATTTTTCAATGCTACGGACGAAATATCGTTGCCGATCGTGGTATAGGTATTCAAATTTTCATTTAAAGGAAATCGCTTGATTGGTTGTATGTATAAGTTTTTCTCATGCACACAAGTACAATTTCAAAACGGCTTTACTTCTAGTAATGGCGCACGGCACAAGCGCCATACCATCCTAACTGAAGCCTTGATTCATCTCATTAACAATTGTACGCAAATTGTGCGAATATTCGTGAATCCTCTTATCGTTTTTCTGCCACCTTCTTAGGTTGGGTAAAGGCTTTATTGCTTGATAAAAAGGTGCAACGGCAAGGAAATGAGATGCAAAGTTGAATATCTGATAAAAGTACAAATACTTAAGCAACGCCTGACGCATACAAAATAATAAAATTATTATACCATCGAGCTATAGATATAAAAATATTCATTTAAAAATGTATACATCTGCCATTGACAATTTAATTTCGGTATTTTTTTTTTTTTTGCAGCTTTTTATCCATATCAGTATTCGGAAAAAGAGATGCGAGACAAAAAGTTTTTAATGTATGCACATGAATCTTTCAGTCAAATTATTTTGCTTATTGTAGATTGAGAAGAATGAAAAACAAAGAAGCGACTGTATACGGTTCAAGTCGAAACTTTTGTACCCATCGTGCTCATACATGCTCGTCACAAATCAACCAAAACACAGCCAAGATAATTCAATGTATTGTTGGTAATATTTGCCTGAAAGTATACTATTAAATAATGATGTAATAAAATACTTGTCCTTATAGTATACTATGCTTTCATAAGAATACGGCTCTGCCATTCTCTTCTTCACACCCTTCAGCATACAATAGCAAGTGTACATAATGAGGAGTGAAGCGTGAAAAAATATTCGAATTCGAATATTTTAATAAATTGATTAACAGTACCCGTGTAGCTTGTTACACCTTAGCGATATAGAAGGTATCTTTTGCCCTTGCAGTATATACAGAAGCACTCATCCGACCAGGTAAAACCTGTATATATATGTGAGCGTGGGATAGCTTATATAAAGGTGGCAATGGCAATTCGAACATCATTTATTTCAATTTCCTCATTCTATCCATCGACACGGTGACGCAGTGCATTTCTTGCACTGCGAGTAGATGTAGAACCCCTTCGAAAAATTGTCTTTCCGTTTGTTTCGCATGTATCCCTGGCAACATCACTCTGCGATTGTCCATTAAAATTTTCGAAATTTTTTTTTTTTTTTTTTTGATATATTCTGGTGTACAATCACTTCGTTTGAGCGTCTGCTATCTTCAACATTCATCGGGAATACTTGGGATCTCGTTTGATGTTAGTAAACTATCGATAAATTTTGGGGCATCGAAGAAGAAGAGATGGCATTACGTTTTTACGTTTGGCGAGTCTCAATATTTTAGTTTTAAGCAGCGAAAGGAATCGGGATTTTTGCATTGTTTTTATGTTACAAAGCTAGCGTTGCAAGGAACAACAACAAGTAACTTGTTAACAAGTGATCGAAATGAAATGAAATTATGTTAAGCGTCCTTTGTTTTTTTGTTTTTTTAGAAATGACTAATCACTCAGGGGATGTCCCCTATTCATGTTGTTGCGGTGACGAGCGCAATGAAATGAGGAAAGATTATGGATTAGTGAAGCGGCGATAGCTCAGTAAGTGTATGAATGCAAGTGTTATGCCTTTATCGAGCGAGCACTGTGACCAAAGTAATCACTACCGTCTGATTTGATGACCCCGATTCGTACATATTCGGCTACTCTTCCGGATAGAGGTTAGAAGATTAGCACTTGGTAAAACTAATATGGATTTTTGGTGAAAGAGGGCGTTTATTTTTCAATCCTGTTGTTTTTTGACCGATGTGTTCAGATTTTATATGGCGACAAGATCAAAAGTGTATCGATACTTTAGAGGTTCTCAAAAGTCGACCTTACCTGACTATCACTTTTCAAGTTATTTTTATGCTAAATAAATGCATTTCAAAGCGTACCCTTAATATGACACATGCGACCTGTGTGGTTTTTATTTTTGTTGTTTTTGTTTTTGGCGATGACATCATCCAGGTTAGTTGTGTTTAAAGTAACATTAAAAATAGGAAAATCGAAAGAACCATAGTTACCTCAGCCATTAGTATTTATATATATTGACCCGAAGATCTTAACCAATGAAAGTCAAGCTTTTTTACATTTTAAAATTAAAAAAAAGAAAAGTTTCCTAATCATAACCTGTAGAATGTACTCGAAAGTACTTCAACTTCGCAAATACGATCAGATTAGATCTTTACAGCTTACTCAGAATTCTTTCTTGGTAATTTGTAAGATATGGAAAAAAAAATGTATAACATCCATAGCGCATTCATGAAATTTCAGTAGCAAGTTTTGTTTGAAGTTTTGCTTCTAATCGGCATTTACCATAGATGAAACTTATCCAACACAAAGCTTTATCAAATGTTGTTTTTTCATAAATATAAAAAATCATTTTATCAAATGAAATTGATTTGTTTGTACGTCGAGGCGTACGAATTTATGCGCTCCAATGCCCAGCAAAGGATGATCACAAGAGATGAGTTCGTCTTGTGATCTCATTTAATGGAAAGGACTTTTTTGAGGCAAAGCGAAAATATGAAAACATCTTACAGTGTTGCGCGATTTAATGGAAAATTTGGAGACGTATCCCACATGTTAGTTGATATCTATACGCATAGAGTTAGTAGTTTGCTCAATAGTAAACTATATTGGATATTTGGAGTGGAGGTCTTTGCTTATGTACTTTTAATCTTAAAGTAACATATCTCATGTACACATAATACTTTCCTTTACTAAAAAATAACATTGATTTATTTATTTTCAGTTGTTTGTTCTTGAACAAATCCTGGGCCATAATTGACTTAGCTGTAGAATAGGATAAACGAAAGCCTTGATTATCGCAGTGGAGTACGTTTTGAATCGTTAATCGACTCTTAGAGCTTCACTAGGATGGAAGGCTTAATTGCGATATAATTGAGACGTAAACAATTGGATAATTGTGCGTTGTAGAAGGACAACTCAAATTAGGCAAAGACTCAATGTCTCATTGCCTAATTATCCTATTGAAATATGTATGGATGTGTGTGTGTGTATGTGTGTTTGTGTATGTGTTTTATATACTTATTTATTCATTTAATTATCTTTTTGTTCGCTTATTTAAATACGTAGGTGCCAGTGAAAAATAATGAAAAAATATCTACACTTTTCTAATGTATCTTAATCAACAGTGTGTACGAAACAATAATACTACTATTAAAGCTAATAAAAGTTGACATTTATCTAAGCATACACTCGAAAAAAAATGTTGGAAAACATATTTTAAACATATTAAATTACGGTACGAATATTATACGCTATATAGCAGTTTCATTTCGCATTCATATTAAGCTTTCAAGCAATATATCTTTACCGACAATTTTGTAATTGTGTATCTGTGTCGAGCTTCAAATGTGATGAAAATTTTGTATGCATTGCTTACAGTTTAGTTTGTTTTGATCACTAGACTTTATAGAAGTTATATTTTTGAAAGATTTTCATTAAAAATATGTTCAAGCATTTAATATATTTATTAATGATTTTTAAAACCATTCAAGGTTTTGGGCAATTTCATTTAAAGCAATACACGACTCCCGTTGATTCAAGTGAAAATGATAACAGTGTTTTAAGTAAAGACTAAAAATAAAAATATACATATGTTGTTTGAAATATTAGAAAAAAATTATTATTAATTTCATAGGAACCTATCGCCGTTGCATGTGGGAACAATCGAAATTCTTGCCCAGACGTCTCGTTCTGTTAAGTCTTTGTTCAAATTTGTTTTGTGAGAATAATCAAATTATGCAACGTTCCAGGTCAATTTTTGTAGTGGAAAAAATGTCTAGACCCAACGAGTAGTTATTTTTCTAGAGTAGTTGTTATGAAATTCAATTTTTTTTTTTTTTTTTTTTTTTTTTAATTTACAGAATAGAAAAATCCTTATTAACAATCTCTTTTTCCTATGTTTCATATATATATATAATATTCTTCGTGGGAAACTCAATCAAATTTAATCCTTAGCTGTTTGGATATATTGCCCGAACAATGCGAACAAGGCGATGAAGAGGAGCTAATGTATAAGCCATTTCCTGATTGCTGTCCAGTTTATTGCAATTTAAAAAAACGTATGCAACGATTGAAAACCATGCATTTTCGACACCGTATGCTCCTAAATATGCAGCGTCAGCAAGCGGCTGGAGGAACAAATATGCTCCTAAATGAATACGGCTTGGGAAATTTTTAAGAAAAATTATTTTGTGATTTTTTTAAATATATAAATATATGTATGCATAAAATATTTTAAAAATATATACATTTTTTTTTTTTTTAATAATAACATTTTATCTTTACAATTTTTGGGAAAAGTATTTATAAGGACATCGCCTTATCAACGAATATATATTAAAATTGAATTTTCACGCTAAACATATATGTAAATTCATAGCCCTTAAGTGTATTATTACATAGAAGAAATGCATTTTATTACACTTTAGAAGGCTATCTAGAACCAGTTTTTGAAATCAAGCCCTAGAATCTTTCCAAAGTTTAGTTATAAAAGTAATTTTGGTAGCAATAATAGTACGAAAAAGAAAGGATTTGTTTCAAGGTAAGTCATGATACTTTATTCTAATAATATTTGGATAGTAATAGTGATTGTAATAGAAATAGTAATAGTAATACTTATAATAATAGCAACGGAAATAAAAAGCATTATATTAGTTGTAGTTATACTACTAGTAAAAGCAACAGCAATAGCATTGCTAATAGTAATAGTTATAATTTTTATTTATTATTTCCATTGACCTTCACTTCAAATATTGTAAATTCGACTTGATTGCTGTGTACAATAATAATAACATCAATACTAACATAATAGTAATGGTAATACTTACAATATTAGCATTAGTAACAGTAAAAGTAATAATAAAAGTAATAGTACTAATAATAATAACAGTAATAGTAATAATAATAAGAGTACTAGAAATAAAAGCAGCCATAGTAATAGTAATGGTAATAGCAAATAGCAAAACAGTCATAGTATTAGTAACAGTAATATTGACAGTATCACTAATAATTATAATAACAGTGATAGTAACAGTTGTAGTAATAATAATATTAACAGTAATTATAAAAGTAATTAGAAATAATATCAATCATAGTAATAGTAATGGTAAGAGCAAATTGTTACAGTGATAGTAATAGTAAGTAGTAGTCGTAGTAATAACAATAGAGATATTAACAATGACAGTAATAGCAATAGCAATAGCAATAGCAGCAGTAATAGTAACAGTGATTGGTAAT